AATCACAGGATTCTCATAAGAGCAGGCAGGAGGGTCAGAAGATAGGGAGAAGATGAAAGAACAGAGGCAGAGGTCACAGAGGAGAAAAGATGCCACACTGCTGTTTTGAAGTTGGAGGAAGGGGCCATGGCTTAAGGAATATGAGCAGCACCTTGTAAACTTAATAAGGTGAAGAAATATGTTCTCCCCTGGAATCTTCAAAAAGAAGAAAGCAGCCTTAGATATGGATTTTGGAATTCTGACCTCTAGGACTGTATGTAATAAATGTATGTTGTTTTAAGGCACTAATTTTGTGGAAATATGTTAAAGCAGCAATAGGAACAATCTCATCAAAAAGTCGGCTAAGAACATGAATAGACAATTCTCAAAAGAAGATATACGGATGGCCAAAAAACATGAAAAGATGCTCAACATCACTAATGATCAGGGAAATGCAAATCAAACCCACAGCATGATACCACTTTACTCCTGCAAGAATGGCCATAATCAAAAAATCGAAAAACAGATGTTGGTGTGGATGCGGCAATCAGGGAACATTTCTCCACTGCGGTTGGGAAAGCAAACTAGTCCAGCTGCTATGGAAAACAGTGTGGAGATTCCTTAAAGAACTAAAAGTAGAACTACCATTTGATCCAGCAATCCCACTACTGGGTATCTACCCAGAGGAAAAAAGTCATTATTTGAAAAAGATACTTGCACACGCGTGTTTATAGCAGCACAATTCACAATTGCAAAATTGTGGAACTAACCCAGATGCCCATCAATCAACAAGTGGAGAAAGAAACTATGATCTGTCTATCAATCTATCTATCTACATGATAGAATACTATGCAGCCATAAGAAGGAATGAATTAACAGTATTTGCAATGACCTGGGTGAAATTGGAGACTATTGTTCTAAGCGAAGTAATTCAGGAACAGAAAACCAAACACTGTAAATTCTCACTGATATGTAGAGCTAAGCTATGAGAACACAAAGGCATAAGAATGATTCAATGGATTTTGGGAACTTGCCGGGAAGAGTGAGAGGGGGACAAGGGATAAAAGACAACATATGTTTCAGTATATACTGTTCAGTTGATTGGTGCACCACGACCTCACAAATCACCACTAAAGAACCTGTGTAACCAAATGCCACCTGTACCCCAATAACTTATGGAAAAAAAATAAAGCAGCAATAGGAAACTAATATACTTTTTCCCTTTCCTTTTCTTTTCTATTTTTTTAAGAGGTAGTAGAGCAGGGTTGTCCAATCTTTAGGCTTTCCTGGGCTACACTGGAAGAAGAAGGATCGCCTTGGGCCACACATAAAATACACTAACACTAATGATAGCTAATACGCTAAAATTTAAATATCACACAAAAAAACTCATAATGTTTTTAGAAAGTGCTAATTTTAACAAATTTTGGAAAGCTTTTCAAAGTATAAGAGAAAGGAAAAGTTGTTAATAATTCTACTCCTCTTCTTGACTCCATTATAGGTAATATTTGGACACATTTCTATCTACATTATTCTATTTTTTAAGAAATGGCTGAAGTAATATTGTGTGTATAATTTCACATCCTGGTTTTTTTTTTCACCTAAGTAAGTGAATATCACAAGAGTTTTCCGAAAACACCATAATGTAGCAATGACTAATGTTGGGTATTCAGCAGTTTTAAATTCTTATCATAAATAATAATGAAATGCATATTTTTGCATAATCCTTTTTGTATACTGTGGTAAAATACACAACATAAAATTTACCATGGCAACCATTTGAAACTGTACAAATTTGTAGCATTAAGTACATTCACAATGTTATGCAACTGTCACCACTATCTAGTTCCAGAACTGTGCATAAATCTGCCTGAATTTCAGACTGTTTCTGCATAACAAATTCATAGAGAGTAGAGTATTGCATTAAAGGAAAAAAAAATCTTAAAGTACATCCAGAAAGGTGGTACTCATTTGCTTTTCAGAGTATAAGAATATTAGTTGTAACATTCTAGTTGGTCCTCACCTACACTATCATTCAAAATACCTTTGCTAGTTTATGAGTAAAAAGAAATCTTGTCCTTATTTTGTTTGCATTTGATTATTATGAGGCTGATCATTTTCCAGTATGTTAATTAACTGTTTTATTTTACGACGTAAAATGTCTGTATGCCACCATAGGACATGAGAAGGTAAAGTCACAACTCTGCTCTCTGCCCTACCTTCCTGATTCAACTACAGGACTCCATTTTTTTTTTTTTTTCAAATGGAGTCTCGCTCTGTTGCCAGGCTGGAGTGCAGTGGCACAATCTTGGCTCACTGCAGCCTTGCCACCAGGTTCAAGCGATTCTCCTGTAGAGTTCTCTATTCTCATCTGCTTTTTATCTTAGTTTCTGTGTAAGATTTTATTGTAAGAAAGGATCCCTTGGCTAATAAATGTTTGAAAACGACAAATCTAGACTAATGGTTTTCAAATATTTGACCGTATAAGTAACGCCGGAGAAATGTGTTAAAAATACAGATTTCCTAAGACCTCCCTCAGAAGTCTCAGAGGCCAGGGAATTTGCGTGTCAATCTGGTGCTAGGTTATCTTTTGCAGACTGTCCAAACTTCATATTTTGAGCAACACTGCCTTGTCTTGCTTCCCATAGTCTAGGACTTACAAGATGATTCTAAATGCAAGATGATCTTGAGTGGGGTTAAATAAAACCAATGTGTAGTTAGATAAAATGAAATCACATAAGATGAGAGACTTCCTTTTGCCTTCTCTTTCAGTCCTTGTGGACAGATTAAGAGAAGTCTCAGTTTGGTGTGAGTGCATCTTTAACGACTTTCTAGCACATACTAACCTCCCTTTTAACAAAAACAAAAACAGGGCTTAGGCTCAGAGCTTTTAGTAGGTTATAGTCTCTGGTTAAGTTTTAACGGCATTTTAAAAACTCGGTTTACTTGTATGGTGACCTTTTAGAAATGAAAACATATTAAAATTTTAATTATGGTAGTGATATTAAGATATTAGGAAATAACAGTAGCAGTATTATGGGTAAAAATAGTGAAGGTTGTAATCAAATGAATCAAATCTATGAATCCCTGGTTTGGAACATGGGCTGCTATACAGAAAGAACAGATCTAAATCCAGAGGTGGGTTGGGGGTGTTTTGGAAGACCTGAAAGGGTACAGAAGTGGAGGTTGTGAAGAAGCTTTGGTGGTGAAGAAGAGGCTGCCTTAGCCTCCTAAAGTGCTGGGATTACAGGTGTGAACCACTGTGGCCTGGCCTTTTAAAAATTCTCTCCTTGGGAGTTGGCAGAGAGGAGGCAGGGAAGAAAGCAGCATTATATTTTTGAAATGTGAGTTGCGTTCTTTTGGTAGTAGAATATCTGTGAGAAAATAGCTAGGGAGCAGGTGCGGGTGTTCTTTTTCATTTTGTTTTGTTTTGTTTCTTCTTTTTTCCCCTCCACAGTGGGCTGGGCCTAGCTTGTAAAATATTTATACTCAATTTATTGAGAAATTATTTTAACCAACTTTACTGTGTCAGTACACAGCATTGGACACTATGTTCTCGGTGACGGGACAAAGAGGGACATTTCTTCTTCATAATTTTTACCTTGTGGCTCATACTGTCAGCTGCTTTAACAGGGGTGATGCACTTTGCTGTTTGTTCCTGCAGATGATTCAAGTTAAAACAGAAGAACTTATGTCTACCTCCAGCGACACATACATGATTCTTTGCAGGACTAAAGAGTACTTGGCCTTGCCAGCTGGCAGTCCAGGATTTAGCAGAAGGTTAAAGATGCTGCCGTGAGAAGTTACAGATAGTTTCACTTAGCCTCTTCTCTAATGCCATGGAAGAAAAAAAATCACTGACTCACTATGCCATGTAAGGCATAAGGAAGACGCTAAGAGAGTTTGTAATGGGTTCCCTTTTAAAGCATGGTAGAGACTGAATTAGTATTGACTAAGAAAGTTTCAGGCAAAAAAAAACTTATCCAAATAGTATGGATCTGAAAAAGCTGATTCTATTATTACTATATTTATTTTTTTATTTGTTATTTTCAAAAAATTTTATTTTACTTTAAGTTCTGGGATACACGTACAGAATGTGCAGGTTTGTTACATAGGCGTACATGTGCCATGGTGTACCTATCAACCCATCATCTAGGTTTTAAGCCCTGCATACGTTAGGTATTTTTTCTAATGCTCTCCCTCTCCTTGCCCCTCACTCCCCGACAGGCCCTGGTGTGTGATGTTCCTCTCCGTCTGTCTACATTTTCTCATTGTTCAATTCCCACTTATGAATGAGAACATGCAGTGTTTGGTTTTCTGTTCCTGTGTTAGTGTGCTGAGAATGATGGTTTCCAGCTTCATCCATGTCCCTTCAAAGGACATGAACTCATTCTTTTTTATGGCTGCACAGTATTCCATGGTGTATATGTGCCACATTTTCTTTATCCAGTCTATTTTTGATGGCATTTGGTTGGTTCCAAGTCTTTGTTATTGTATTTTTAAAAGTTTTTTAGACAGAGTATCACTCTTGTTGCCCAGGCTGTAGTGCAATGGCATGATCTCAGTTCACTGCAATCTCTGTCTCCTAGGTTCAAGCAATTCTCCTGCCTCAGCCTCCTGAGTAGCTGGGATAAGAGGCATGCACCACCACGCACAGCTAATTTTGTATTTTTAGTAGAGACAAGGTTTCACCATGTTGGTCAGGCTGGTCTCAAACTCCTGACCTCAGGTGATCCACCCACCTTGGCCTCCGAAAGTGTTGGGATTACAGATGTGAGCCACCGTGCCCAACCAAAGAAGCTGATTTTAAACCAACAACCATGGTGTTTTCTGATTGACTGTTTAGCGTCCATATAAGAAGCATTATTTATAACCCTAACAGTTTTCTTTTCACAACAATCACTTATCTTACTGGCTGTAGTTTACCCTATTATCTAATTTACCAAAGAGATCTTGGGTTTTAAAATGTTAAATCCTGTTTTTGGAATAAAAATTGTAAATGAAGAATGCTTGTCACCACATGTTAGTAATGGAAGTATTCTATTATTTTTAATTTTATGTATGTATATCCAACAGCTATATGGGAAAGTAGCTATTACAGACCCATATTAATTCCATCATTTATAACCAGGGTTGGTAGCAAAGCAACAGAAATACATCTTCAATGCAAACTTGTTCCCAGCATCTCTTTCCTTTCATCCTTGACCATAATGTGTCCTGAGCAGGAAGAAGACATCCTTAGCCCAACCCGCTTCCCCTCCAATGTGGGCTGAGTGTTGGGTCAACTAACGAGCAGTGCAGACTCTCCATTTTTCTTTGTTGGAGCTAGGTGCCTTGGAGGCATGTAAGGGCACAGCCTCAAATTCCAGAGCCAGGATTTGAGGTGGGGGAGGAAGTGAAAGAAGACCTTTAGCCATTCAGTGTTATCAAAAGCAATCACCGAAGAACTTTTTGAGCCCGGCATTGCATTGGGATATGTATCAGCAGTACCAAACAGCCTTTTTAGTGGACAAGTATTCATACCTTGCTAACACCAGTGTATACCTGATGGAAAACTCCTATTCATGGGATGGCAGAATTGTAAACATTTCCTCTTTTACCAAATTTGTGGATGGAATAAAATGTAGCCTTAAACATTAATGGCTTCTTTGGTCTTCCATATGAGGGGCCTGAAAACTTTCAGAAATAGGAATCCTGTGGCATCTGCTAAGGGTGATTAGAAGAAAGAGTGACAGCCTCCAGGATATAATACCGGAACCGTTACAAAACGCTTCCAGCTGCGATTTCAGAGGAATCACCCCTGAACCCCTGTACGTGGTTCTCCTATTTCAGTACTCTTCTAGCTATGACTTTGCTTAGACAAGCTGAAGTTGATGGATTCGTTAGAAAGTTTCCACTGAACTTGTCTGGTCCAATTTGTCTTTTCTCAAGGGCATGGACACAGCTTTGCTTCTCCTTCCTGCACTCACTGGTCTGCTGCCCCCATTCTTCCCATTAGGGCATAGAATATTACCTAGCAGGTGAAGACACCATACACTGTTTGATTTTTAATAGGAGAAACCCCTCTAGTTGGAGATAAATCTTACTTGGAGGCCAGGTAGCTATAAGTCTGAAGTGTCAGTATGGCATTTCAGCATTTTCAGTCAGAGCCCCCAAGGTCCAAACAAATCACAGAACAAGGCTTTGAGATACTGAATTTGGTTTGAAATAGAATGTGAACAGATGATTCTGCCAAGTTTATTCTGAAGTAGCCATAGCCAGGATGAGGGTGGCCTTCTGGAGGAGTAAGGTTTGAGAGAATTATGTTGAAAGTCATTCAGAGAAAGAGCCTGTTCCTCAGCTGCTCCCTGCTCAGAAGCAAGGGTTCTGGTGGTGGGTACAAGATCAAACTAAAGATGAAGTCTCTTCTCTTGATAATTTAGACCGACCCAAAACAACTGGGTCTATAAAGAAACCAGATTATGTCATGTGCCAATCTGGCAAACACCAGAATGTGTGTCTCCATGATCCAACAATTCCTATTTTGTATGTAACTGTGATGTCTGTGTCAATTCCAATCTTTCTTAGGTAACGGCAGACAGTGCAGAGTCTTTATTGTCCTTGGACAATGGGACACATCAGGTAAGGTGGCAGTCTGATAAGATTGCTACTTAAGGAAGAGGTGCTGTTGCAAAAGAAATGTGGAAGTTAAAAACAACTAATGATCCATTGATTGGGCTTGGACACAGACCCTAGCACTTGAGTACCTTACACTTTTTAACTTGCACTCCAGCTTTGATCAGGCTTTTCCTGTGATTGTGCAGCCAGGAAATAATAATTCTCTTGGCTTTGCTCTTGGTTGACATTTGGGAAATGGCTGCCCTTTAGAACTTGGCTCTGATCTCTTCGGTATTTGCCTGATGTCTTGAGACTCCATTCTTCTGAGCTCCTGGTATCTTTGATTCTCCCTGAAGTTAAGAACACTATCAGTCCTCCAAACCTGCCTCTTATACTGTTAATATACTAAATTTAAACGAAAATCTTAGGCAAGACCCTTTAGGGTCTTCTGGTCTTCATATGAAACTGCATTTTTAACAGTATAACAAATATAGTTTTCAAAAACCCCATAAATTCTACCAGTTTGGAAGTAAAAAGGGGTAAAAATGCTTTGCATCATGTTTCTAGGGCTTCTTAGAAATTTTACACGAAGAGCACTTTTTACTCCTGGCCAGCCAAGAACACCAACTGATTTCAGCTGCTGTTATTTGGTGTGTGAAAAAAAAAAAAAAGATTTTTCCAAAGAATTTTGTTATCAGTAATGCTATGTAGCCTGGCACAACACACTTGACAATATCAAAAGAGATGCTATTATATAAATGTAACAGGGAGCAGAATGCAGTTCTGTTTCATGATTTGGCCAGAAAAAAAACAAATTAACTTGAGTGACTGGAGGCAATCTGAATTCATTAGACCCCTGGCCCTTATACACATTACAATTCTGCCCCAGTAAAGAGATCATAAAAGAAAGGTTTACATGGCTCTCAGAAAGGAGATACTCTCCTTTTCAATTACATCTGATTTATGAACTGTTTAAACCATTTCCCAAAGTCTGCCTTCACAGCCTCTTGCTTGTCTGATAAACACTGCACAGAAATTCTGCTGGTTTGCAAAATCTGACTCTTACGTGTCTGAAGTCCCCTTTCAAATCCTGGGAGGAAGGAACATTGAAGGCTCCAAAGAGTTGCTGGTGACAAATGTCTACTGTATTTCCTGATGGCAGAGAACAAAGTGAGACGTGAAAGAGAAAACGTACACGCAGTGGAATCCTCTCTCCTTCAGCTCCTTTGAGCCAAGCGCTGAGCTATCTGATTTTTATACCCCTACCCCCTCAGCCCTTCTCCCTCTCATGCTGTGGTCTGTTCTCCACAAATATCTCCTTTTCGGTTTCAAACCAGATGGAGTTACAGAAAACAAACTGTAAGTTCCCAGGCCCAAAAGTTTCTCACAGCCAGGAAGGGAGTGGGTGACAGGACGTGGATTACCCTCTCCATCCCCCAGCTCCAGGCCCCTTCTTTTCAAAAGCAAATTCTTTTAAAAATATAGAGAGAGCCTAACTTAGCAATCATTTGGCAACGAGTGAGCATGGTTATCTTTCAAAATAATAATGACGCCAAACTTTATAGAAAAAGGAAATCGTTCTCTTTGTTCCAAAAACCCTACAATGTAGATAAATATTTCTCCAGGGATAAATACAAAGACTTTTTTTTTTTTTTTTAAGAACTGTTCTATTTGCTAGTCTAGACGTATAGGAAGGCATCATAAAACTGTTATTTTTCAGTGGGTCAAACTCTCTTCCAGAGCAACTCTATCTGCCTCAGAACGGAAAAGAATCCCAGGTTTAGAAGGAATTTGCCAGCCCTAGGCCAGTTCTTATTCATCTGCTGTAGATCTTGATCCACATCATATTAACAAGAGTTTCAAAGGTTTTTTGATTTCTGTGCTTTATGTTTTAACAAGGGAAGCGCCTTCTACCTGAGTTCCTCAAGATGATTTATTAGACTCTACTGAGCGTGAGATGGTTTGAGTGGTTGGTTGGAAGACAGGTTTCCTCCTCATGGACTTAATAATGTCTTGGTCTTATGAGAGAATTTTGTGGGGCTCCTTTGCCTCCTGCTCAAGGCACCAGTGAGTATCATTTGCAGAATTAGGGTGTTGGCTCAAAAGAGACATACTGTATTATCCCATAGAGTATGAGAGCATCTGGGAATTATGAGGGCGTTTATGAGTAACATCTCTGGTAGACACATGAGATCAGCCCTCTTCCCGCTCACCACCACTGAAGATCTGGGGGCGGATGGGCAGAGGTGAGGTGGTGTGGCATGACAGCTGGAACACAAGTGGAAATAGCCAGTTGGCCATACTGAAACACTATTTGCCATCTATGTGTGAGGCCGTTCCAGTATTGGTGTCCAAGGACACTTAGTCCTGGCCTCATTTGCCTTCCTATTTTAAAGGGGGAAAGGCTTCATATACTTATTTAAGAAAAACAAACAAAAAAGAAACTTGAGTATTAAGTAACTGTTGAGCAAGCAACACAGTGATAAAATTTTAAAATATACAAATCAGAACTATATGGCATCAATTTTGCTAGAATGATCCATGAACTTTAAATATCAAGGAGTCCAAAATCTTGGACATTGGGCATTAGTTTTACTATGCTGTCTTTCAATTCAGAAGAGGACAAATTTTTTTACATGGTTTCCTGTATCAGTGATGGGATTGTTGAGTTTTCATGTTTTCTGAAAAAAGTAGAAGTTAAATTACTTCTTTTGACTGTCCAAAGTGGTGCATTTTACTTAAGAAGAAGAAGGCCCCATGCTGGGAGCCTTACATTTTGCTATGGTCTCTGTCAGTAACTGAGAGTGGTGATATGGAACTCCCCTGCCTGTCTGGGCCTCAGACATTTTTTCTGCAATGAAAACTAATAGGGTTGACATTTATTGCCCTCACTGAAGTCTCTTAAAGTGTAGCAACAGTCTGGGCATGGAATGGGTTTTAGTAAGAGTGATTTGATTCACTAGCCCTCTGAATGTCATGTGCAGGGTATGAGCAGAAGCAGGAGCAATGGAGTGTGTGTGTGTGTGTGTGTGTGTGTGTGTGTGCGCGCGTGCACACGTGTATGTGTAGCTAACAGTGGCCAAGGACAGTTGAGCCTCTGTAAGTTTCATTTTTTTTTTTTATCTTTAGTAGAAACCTCCTATTGCTGAACCTTGGAGGAGGTAGCTAAGGCTTTTTCTAAGACACAGATAAATGTTCCTCTTAGCTATCATGATAGATTTTTGACCAGGAGAGCCACTGTCAGATACATGTGATGATCATCCTGGGTGATGTGTCTTCATTAAGAGATAACAGGTAGTGCTGATGCTGAAGTGATCTGGTGGAGGAATGGCCTGAGACAGAGATTGCAAACTGCATAACAACCCAACATAACAACCCAAGGGGCTGTTGATGAGGATTCTGTAGATTAACACAGACTAGCTCCATAGAGAAGTGTCATAATCAACTTGTAACGCCCATCTCAGGTGTGACAGGGCAAGTGGTGACCTTGTGCCATGCTGTTGGCAATGGCACCACAGAACATACCAGAGACAACACAATCAGATGTATCTGGCTTCTAATTAGATCCTCCCTGGGAAAGCTGTGTGACCCAGCAAGCGACATAACCTCTCCAGGTTCAATGTCCTTCTCAAGAAACAGTGATACCTTCTTTGTGGAGTTTTTGTGAGGCTGAAGCAAGATAATGTATGCTTGTTCCTGTTCTTAAAATTGTGGCTGGCAAAAAGTAACGTGTCAAGCGAGAAAACTTTGGATTACAGAGATATGGTTTGGGCTTGCACATTCATTTTTCACAAATGCAAGAAGACTTATTGGAGACACCAAGTCATGGAGGGCTTCAGTTCAGACTCAGCAAAATATAAGGCAAGATGATCATTTCCCCCAAACAGGGTCAAAGTCATGTGAATAGGAGGCATACGCATTCTTCATATGGAGTTAATGACATAATCTTTAGTAGGAAATGACTCCCTATGGTTATGAACTACACATAATTGTAGGTATGGTGGGAGAAATCCAACCCCATCCTGCCTGTTACTGTCTCTTTCATATACAGAACCAGAGCTCACTCTCCTTTTTTTTTTTGAGATGGAGTCTCGCTCTGTTGCCCAGGCTGGAGTGCAGTGGTGCAATCTTGGCTCACTGCAACCTCCACCTCCCAGGTTCAAGTGATTCTCCTGACTCAGGCTTCCGAGTAGCTGAGATTACAGACAACTGCCACCACACCTGGCTAATTTTTTTGTGTTTTTAGTAGAGATGGAGTTTCACCATGTTGACCAGACTGGTCTTAAACTCCTGACTTCAGGTGATCTGCCCGCCTCTGCCTCCCAAAGTTCTGGTATTACAGGCATGATCCACCATGCCCGGCCTCACTCTTCTGAGTCTGGATCCCATTCTTCTCTGTGACTGAGCAGACGTAAAAGCTACTGACTTTCAGTCTGAGCCTCCAGAATTTTGTACAGGAAAAAAACCCAGCAACTGGGCATCCAGGGGAAGGGGAATAGAATCAGAAATACTAAATGAGGTAGAGCTCTAAAGGCAAAGAAGATGTGGAAAGAGTGAAAGGGGACAGTTAGGATACTGGGGAAGGACCATGTGGTCACTCTCAGAGGGCTGTCTTCTTGGGATGTAGTGTTCCAGTTGCATCTCCCTATTCCTTGGTGGCTTGGGAACAATTTCCTGAATGCTGGAAACCTCACCAGGGTTCAGTGCATCATCTGCTCAGGGAAGGTGGGGAAGTGCTAGTCAGAAATGGTGGTGGGGAAACCGGTTCCCTGTCCGTCCAAAGGACTTTGAAAAGCACCATCCTTGTGAACCACCAGGCAGCCTAGAGCCTCAATTTCTGTTTACCTACCCAGCAGCAGAGAGAGTACAAAACAGTAAGGTTGGTCCTCTATGAGGTTGGATATAAAACATTACATGAGACAGAGAAAAGGGACTTGTTTAGTTAGGTTTCTTTAACATTATCATCATCATTATTTCCAGACTAAGGTGGCCTCTCCACTGGCCAAAGGGACATGCTGAATTGTGGATCATTTCTCTGGACTTCCTTGATATACAAATGATCCTCCATGGGGACATCTGAATTTATGCTTGAGGACATCAGAATTTCCCATTATCCATTCTATTATTACTCCCATAAAGATTCTCCCCTTAGGACTGAGCGAGGGCAGGTGCTTTCTTGGTTTCCAGAAGAGGACAAAAGCTTCTCATGTACCTGATAGCTAGTAATAACAGAGTTATCTATATACTCAGGAAAATGACTAGGTGATGTCAAAGTGTATGTTAACTACGTAACTCCCTATGTTTGTTATTCCCGCCTGTTTCTCTGTAGTTCTCAGTTAAATCCTGGAAAGAAAAAAGGTTTGAGGATGGGTGAGGGGTATAGATGGGACAGAAGAAAGTGGGTGAACCTGGAGACCTGGCCCATGTTAAGGCTCCCCAGGATGATGGAAAAATCATGACAGGAAGCTTATAAGATGGAAGGATGTCAAGGTCCTCGTGTCCCATGGAAAGAGAATAAGGGGTGCCATCTTGGAGCAGAGAAGATGTCTAAGCTGGGGACCCACAGTGATCCCCCAAAAGTTTGACATCCCCCTCTCATATCTGGAAAGGACACCCTTTGTAGAAAGTTCTCAGCACAGACTCACCTCAGCAATCCTACACAAGGAGTAGCCAGTCTTCCAAGTTTCCACTTTCTATTCCTGTCCTAACTGACTAACCTCTTTTGTTGCTGTTGTTTGAAAGGACTTTCAGTTGTACAACTTTCTGCACATGTTGTCATTTGAACATAAACAGTGAAAATCTTTGTCATGCTTCCCTTTCAAACGTTCGTGGTTGACAAATACGTTTTCAACTAACATTTTCCCACTTAAAATGTAGTAAACTATTTAGTTTAACATTAATCCAAAGTAAGAAGGGGCTTCTCCTCCTCCTGGTTTTCCCTTTCTCCTTCTCCATCTCCTCTTCCTCTTCCTCCTCCTCTTCCTCCTCCTCCTCTTCTTTATCTGCCTCTCTCCTTTGATCTGTGAGATGGTTGGGTTATCATGCCAGTGTGGCATTAACATTTTTTTCTCTTTGAAAATGCATTTTGAGCAAATCCTATGATAGGGATGGAGAGATAACATTTAGAAAGTTTCCTAAAATCTTAAAGCCTTCATTTAGTAAATACGACAAGCTCTGTAATTTATAGATGGGATTATAACATTCTAACCTCTATTTGGGCTCTGCTTTCCCAGCTCTCAGGGGTAATGAGATGATGAATAAGTCAATATTTGTTCAAGGATTTG